ATCAATGATTTTGTGTAGACCAACAAACTCATATTTAATTAATTGGAAAAGACATTAATTATATATAAATAATTATTATATTTAAATTCCTTATATAATAAAAAAAAACCTTAACGACGTTGACCGTCCGACCACAATCATTGACCATCGGCCAGGGCAAATTTTTAGTCGATCAGCCTTGTTTGTACCCTCGGCCAGGGCACCTCCCAAATAGGACTGCTCATTCGGTCAAAACTGAACCGAACCGACTGAATTTTCGGTTAACTGAAAAATTGGTTTGTCCATTATCATAACCGAAAACCGAACCGAAATTTACGGTTCGGTTCGGTTTTTAACCGAAAATCCAGCGATCGGTTCGGTTCTGTTTTCGGTTAATTGCAATAAATAATTAATCTTCTCAATAAATTCTGAATTTTAACCGAACAAAGAATTTGATGTTTTATCCAAACCAAAAAAATTAATTTTTATCACCTTGTTTAATCTTCTTAATAAATTCTAAATTCTCCTCAAAGGAAGATCTCGGACCCGAAACGTCACTTGGACTATGACGAAGCCAATCTTGAGTGCAAATTAATGCTTGAACCATTTTAGGGGTAATTGAAGCTTGAAAATCATCAATCATTAAAGCAAATTAATATTTTTATAACTTATATATATAAATAAAAAAATATATATATATGTGTATAAATCGATTTCAATTCGGTTCGATTAACCGATTGTTTGTCCCATTTTTGTGTCTTTATTTCATGTTTATTTTCTTTTTGTTTTCTTCCATTTGTAGGTTTTTCGTGGTTTATTTGGTCCATTTCGGTCGTTTTGTGTTTTTCTCTTTAGTGTATATTTGTGTGTCTTTTTGCCGTGTTTTGCTTCATGTTTTTCTTTATTTTTGTGTTTTCAGGAGATAGGTTGTACCGGTCGAGTTGGGATTGCTTGAGCCGAGACCGCGATATTGAGAATTTATGTGGCCGAGCCCAGAAGACGATGAAGAGGACTGAAAAACGGACGAAACACGCGCCCAGAATTTCTCGCGACTCGCGAACATGTCGCGGCTCGCGGAAAAAACTGGGGCTTAAGAGGATTTCCGAAGAACGAGTCGCGACTCGCGAGAATGTGTCGTGACTCGCGAGATGGAGTCGCGACTCGCGAGTTATGTTGCGATCAGCCCCAGAAGTTTAACATTTTGAAGACGCGCGACTCGCGAGGATGTCACGACTCGCGACCGAGAAGAAGACTATCTCGCGACTCGCGATTTATCCGGCGCGAATTTCGAGGACGGGATTTTTAGAGCTGATTTCGATCCTAGGGTTCATTATTCAACTTTCAGACTTTATTTTTACGTTATTTCTCTAGAGAAACTCATTCCTTTTCATCCTTTTGCACTTTTGATTTGTTTTGGAGATTGAAAAACTCTTATTTCTTGCTTTGGATTTGGATGCACTTGGATTTGATGTTGGATTCTTTATATTAATCGTAAGTTCTTTTTCTCAATTGCTTGGTTGATGATGATGACTTGGGTTTATATGAATGTTGATGTTAAATTCGTTATGAATAGCTAAATCCATTCGCTAGGGATAAGGGATGATTGATTAGGTTCGGTAATGATTGAATGCTTTTGATTGTTCATGTCTATTCGAGTTGTGTGAATTATAGGGTTAGTAGATTGATCACCTTTCTAACCTAGGTAATCAACGTGTAGAACCGAGAGGGGAAACGTTGGTCGAATTAGGCTCGTTTAGAATAGATTTGTTCGGAAACGTATTATCTATGTGTTGTTGGAATTGATAGTTGATCGTTTACATTCACTCTCTTGTTACCAAGAGTTATTGAGAGTGAACCTCTGAACGAGAAACGATTCAAGTCCTTTAACCGAGCAATCGATTGTCGGTGATTGCGTTAAAACGAAAGCGATTATCCCCGATTCCCTAGCACTTTAATCATTCAGTAATTCATTTGCTATTTTGCTTTTATTTTATTTTATTTAAATCAGTAGTTGATAATTGAAACCCCAAAATATTGAACTAGAATGTTTAGGAATTTGTTTTCTCTTTTTCGTGATTGAATAAACGCACAAGAATATCCGGCTAACCTTCCTTGCGATACGACCCGGGGACGAATCTTTCGATTCTACTCCGGTAAAAATACTGACAACACCGATCACAATTAACCAAACCGAACAGAAAACTAGAATTTTAAGAAAATATAAACCAAAAACCGAACTAGATATTTGGTTTCAATTTTGGTCCAAACTGAATTTTCAGTTTCAATCGGTTCAGCTCGGTTAACCGATCTCTTTGCTCCCCTACTCCCAAAGTCTACCTCTGTTGGGATCTGTATCTCGTTATGTACAAATCACGAATTCAATAGCAAACGTAAACCTATGCGCAGCGGATTTAAAGGTTTGACGTAGAGAACTTACGGCTTAAAATTTATGTAGATCTGGCTGACCACGAACGGTTGACCGCAATTGATTGACCGCAAATCACGTCTTGGGTTGCACGAACAAGATCAGATCAAAATCGGATCAAAAGGAAGCAAACAGATCAAAACGAATTTTTGCAGTCAGGCTCCTTTCGGCGGCGCGTGAGGGCGCGTGCGGCGTCGGAATCCGGCGACGTCGGCGGCGATGGAAAGCTCTCGTTGTGACGGTCGTCTGGGTATACTGTACGTCTCAATCGGACTTCCGGTTAGTTCTGTAGGTCAAAATATATTTCGTCTCGGTTTACCTACAGATCTTCTACTGTATTACTCAATGCACCCTTCTTCAACTTGTACCAGTGGAGCAACAAGAAGAAGATAAAGCTCGAATGAGATCTAGAGAGAGAGAGGCGTGTGAAGCGTGTATCTCGTGTGAATGAGACTTCTGTTCTCTTCTCATGAGCTTAATGATGTATATATAGAGCTACAGTAGGGACCCTAAGGAGATTAGGAAAAGGGTTCCTTAATTAATTAGACTAACTGTGGGCCAAAACCACTCCTCTAATTAATTAAATAATATTAATGGGCCACCAACATTATATTACTGCACTCCCTTTCCCTAGCCCAAATTACATTTGAGACTCCAATAATAATTACTCGATTTACCTCCCCACGTTTAAGATATAATGTCCATTAATTAATTCGATTACTGACAATCAAGAATTAATTAATTTATTATTATTTCACCGAAGCTAGCGCTCGTTCATCACATTCTTATTATGCCGGAATTTAATCCACCTGCAGGGTTTAGCATAACAATCCTTCATGAACTCACTCCGGGGACATCATCAAACTAACGCACATGGTGACCGTAAATATCCTAACAGCACATCCTATAGATAATAATATTACCCAAAACAGTAGGAATATTAATCCAGCGAACTGAACCTCACCCATGTGAATCAAAGTAATATATATTATATATATCTGCCTGTTTAATATCTTACGGGTTAAGAGAACGCAGTAATTAACAGAGGCCTAGTTCATTTACGACGATCAGTATAAAATGAACTTCTCCTCTTTGGGATCCTGTTCAATACATAAATGTACTAGTGCAACTAATCAGTCAAGACAAACTGTACAGTTGACACTACAACCGTTCGGATGGAGTGTTCATGTCCATCTAGGTTGTGAACAACTACTCTTATTCGCAAGTAACTGATAGAGTGATCTTCGGTACGCCCGATGACGACCCACTCCATCTAAGTGCAGAACAACAGAACGTAGAACTTGTTTAATCTAACATGATTCTCATTCATAAAGGGTAAATGTGTAATAACATGCAAAGCCAAGCTTTCAGTATATAACACTAACAACCTCCCCCAGCCACCGTTGTCGGCCACAACGGCTGGAGCTCTTCGCCAACAACTGGAAACCTGTTCTCAGGCGAGCGGACGACAGCGAGCCACGAGGCGGCCAATTTCTGCAACCAGACCTTGTACAACGAGGCGTGAGGCGGACGACAACGAGCAAGTCTTATAAGGGAGGAGGCGGAGACGACGACCTAAACGTCTAGCGGCAACAGAGACGGAGGTGGAGTCGGTGAGAACGTCGAGATTATCCTCCCCAATGCTTTTGAGATTTTGACATACGGAATACATCAAAAGGGAACCCGGTGCTGTTCGGGAGCTCAAGGATTGGCAGCTTCGACAGTGGAAAAGAGGGATTTCGGCAGCGGCGATCAGAAATTGCATGTTGGGATCGGACATCAGAGCACTAATTTCGATCGAGAATTTCAGAGAAGAAATTGGACCTTGTTGCAATTTCAATAAATTACGGCTTACTGTAATTTGATCATTGGGGTTAATCTATAAATTATTTGAAGTTAGAATAATTACAATATGACCCTTAAGTTTTATATTATATAATTAATGCGTATTTAGTCTTATGCATATTTAGTTAATACATCATGCATATTTTTGTTAAAAATAATGCATACCTAATTGATAACGTAAAGACAGTAAAAGATTTCAGGATATTGTTCTCAGCTGCATATGTTGACTGCACATTTAGTTCATATGAAATGCAAAATTAGTTCATACGGAGAATATATTTATTTCACAAACAATGCATAATTAGTTAATACTATTGTTGTATATTTAGTTCATACAAAACATATTTAGGTAATATAAACTACATGTTCGAGTGCAAATTTACTTCATACACGATACATATTTGGTTCGTAAAAAATACATATTTAGCATATATACCTAGTTCATACGAAATGCACATTTAGTTCATACGAAATGCATATTAAGTTCATAAAAAATTTAAAATTAATTAACATTATTGTTGCACATTTAGTTCATATAAAATACATATTTAGTTCATATCAAATGCATATTTAGTTCATCATAGTGCATATTTATTATATTTAAATTAATTATATACATAAAGTCGTCCCGTCCGGCAGCAGCCATTGACTGTCGGCCAGGGCAAATTTTTAGTCGATCAGCCCTGTTTGCTCCCTCG